GTGTGATACAGATGGAGTGAGTGAAGTGTGATACAGATGGAGTGAGTGAAGTGTGATACAGATGGAGTGAGTGAAGTGTGATACAGATGGAGTGAGTGAAGTGTGATAGAGATGGAGTGAGTAAAGTGTGATACAGATGGTGTGTGAAGTGTGATACAGATGGTGTGTGAAGTGTGATACAGATGGAGTGAGTAAAGTGTGATACAGATGGTGTTTGAAGTGCGATACAGATGGAGTGTGTGAAGTGTGATACAGATGGTGTGTGAAGTGTGATACAGATGGAGTGAGTAAAGTGTGATGCAGATGGTGTGTGGAGTGTGATACAGATGGAGTGATTAAAGTGTGATACATGTAGTGTGTGAAGTGTGATACAGATGGTGTGTGAAGTGTGATACAGATGGAGTGAGTGAAGTGTGATAGAGATGGAGTGAGTAAAGTGTGATACAGATGGTGTGTGAAGTGTGATACAGATGAGTGAGTGAAGTGTGATAAACATGGAGTGTGACTCTTCACCTGACTCTGTGCTGACAGGAGCTTTGATTCCAGCTCTCTCTTCTCCTTCAGCACCTTCTGCTTCTCATCATACTCTTCTTCAAGCTGCACCTCTATCTGCTTCAGCTGCACACAAACACACAGAAACCAGTCATTACCATTTCTGTCTGTTAGCAAAATAACTCAGAAACCAATGGATGGTCAGTACGGATGAACACCTACAACCTCAGCCAGTTTTCCAGAGACTGAGCTGGAACCTGGTGTGGCAGACACACTCACCAAGCTCTGATCTAGTCAGATATCACATTGTGCAAAATGTTAGCTTCAAAGTTTGACTAAAACAGCCTATTTAAAGAAAATAAAGTGCTAACTTGGTGTGGTTGTGTTCACCAAACTGAACATATTGAACATATTAAATGTAAAGATTACAAAACCATCTAAGTTGCTTCATGATCCTCTGACCGCAAATGACATTATTAAAACTCAGGGTAATGTGACTGTAGTCAACCTCCCAGGTTGACCAGACAGATAGACCAGATGGTAGAAAAGAACTGAGAAACCAAAGCTGCATATCAGAAAAACACATAATGTGTTATTGTTTAATGATGTCAGTGGTGATAAAACCAAATCTTCTTACTGTCCTACATGGCTCTATCACCTGAACCAGGTGTGAGCATCAAAACCTGTTGAGTCTGTTGGACTGACTCCAGATATTAGCAGTAGAACATAAATTAATGGTATCTAAAACCCATTGGTCTATGACTTATTGTAGTCCTTTGCCATATTACTGAGCTCACTGAAGATTGTATAAACTGTGCAGCCCTAAAGCAAACCACAAACCATTCAAGAGGAACTCCGAGGTCAAGCTGTGTCACTTTATGATTGAACCTTCTTTTTAATTGTAATGAGCTTGAACAGCAGGGAAGTAAAATTTGATTTATATGGCACCTGTCAAGACAAAACTCACAAGGTGCTTCATACCAATAATAAAGTAGATTAGGTTAACTAATATCAAAAACAATAAAAGCCAATGAAAAATTAGAAAAAATGCCTCAGCACTGGTTGTCTAATCACTTTGGGCATTTGGTTTGTGTAGATAACAGCAATATTTAAACTTTTTTGACCAAATAATAGAATCTGAATGGAACCTAATGGGTCAAGTGATCCAGCTGACCTTCTTACTGTACAACTGTCTTATCTCCTCCACTTCATCGTCTTTGCTCTCGATCTCCTTTGAATGGCTCTGACGCAGACGCTCCATCTCCATCTCCAGACGCAGCTTGGCCTGAAACATTCAACCAGCATTTTACACATTCTGCTCAMTGGTGGTGGGCACCAGTCCGCTAAAGCACAAATCCGCTAATTGCGGATCTAAATATTTCGTTTGTGTTTAGCAGCCTTACTAATTTTTATAATTCATAAGCGGATTTGCGCTTTCTAAAATTAAAATGCAGTACCACTAATAAATAATTATCTTCATCATAATCTTGAACAGCAGAAGGTATGGCTGTTAATGAATCACAACACACGTGATCTGTCAACAGCACCCCTCCCRGATAAACACACTTATTGGAAACGTATACATCATTGCTGACTGTTGCTCTCGGTCACGGTTCTCATTTCCCACAATGCTTTGTGTCTGCTTGCGTAGCAGGAAGGCAATGGTTAGAAGTCCCTGTCCCAGCAAAAACAGTAAATGTTTGTAATCCATACTAAAATTTTGTAAGTATTGATTTATTTTACTTTACAATCAGAGCTCCTTTAAAAAATAAATAAATAAAGTTTAAATGCTGGAGCTCAATACTTGACATAATTGGTCGAAGCAATCGGCCAACGGGGTTAGACATCTAGTGGTCAACTGGAGCAACTGCATGGAAAAGTTTCGTTTCCCGTCACAAATCAAATCCGTCATGTACCCAGAATGCATCACTTCAGTTTTCCAATTAACAGCTTTAAAATTACTTTATTGATGCTTCTTTAATGAAAAATCTACAACAAACAAAAGAAAAAGACAAAGAAGCAGCCGAACTAGCAATCCTCAACAACTTTTTAAAGACGCAGCCGAACTAGCAATCCTCAACAACTTTTTAATTTTTACACCAGGAGCTAAAGGTCTGTTTCAGAAAATCACATCCCCAGCAATCGGCACTTGTAGGATTAAGCTGTAAAAGGGTTCATACACTGCTAGTTGGCAGTGTTGTACATATGTTGTACATGAATTGTTGCCAGCTAGTAAGTGTCAAATTGAACTTGCGCTTTAACATTAGCTTCTGCTAGTTTTTCTATGGCATAAGCGTTTTTGAAGTTGCAGACCTAAATATTTTCTTAAGCGCTTTAGAAATTGCGGAGCTAATTTTTGGGTTAGTGCTGCCCACCACTGCTGCTCACCATGAAACCACGGTTTCAACACAAACTGACAAACATTTGTTAGTAGATGAGCAAAATTCACAAGACAATACAAGTTGTTATATACTCTGATACTACAGAGCATAGTCCAATCTTTCTGTTTATCTTTACTCTTAAAAAAATGAGGGCCTCTCATCCTCCATCACCTGTGATAAAACAAAAAGAGCAGCTTCATGAGGACCTGTGTTCATACCTGCTCCAACATCTGGATGGTGCCAGCCTGCTCATCCAGCTCCTCCTCCTGGTCCTTGACCTTGGCTTCCATGTCACGAAGCTGCTTCTTCATCTGAACCCACACACGAGAAGACAAGAAGAAGAAGAGGTCAGTCATCAGACGGACAGGAAACAGGTTTACTGACAGACTCAACGACAGACCTTAGCCAGCGATGCCTCGTCCTTGGACTCCTGGGAGTTGAGATCCTGCAGTTCTGCTTCAAACTGGTCCAACTTCAGGTTAACTGCACACAGTTCAGTGTCTTTGTCCTGCAACACACATGGTTCCAGTCAAAACATGGTGGGGAACTGAAAGGTTACGTCACATATTTCTGTAAATATCTTTGGTAAACACAACTGACCCTAACTCACTTATTTGTCTGTCCTTCAACAGGATCGGAAACACACCTGTACACTGAAGGACGTCACTTTTGTTCCATTATTGGCAAAGCTGGACACGTCACCTGGTGCTGACCAGGGGTCTCATTTATAAAGGATTGCATGGAAACCATACTAAAAGTGAACGTACGGCCAAAAGGCGGAAATGGCGTACGCCAAAAAAATTCAGACATAAAATCGTGCGTACGCATGTTTCTGCGCATCTTTCATTTATAAATCACAGCCGCACGTCAGAGTTTGTGCACGAAGTCCCGCCTCAGGTTCTGCCCTCTACACGCCCACATTCAACCATAAAC